TGCTGTCACTTGTCTTTTGCTTAGATCAAAGACTCTTTGGGGTATGGACCAGGCCTGTATTTCCTGTGCATTTGGGTACTGTCCTGCATGAAGAATCTCTGGTTCTAGGCACTGCTGCGGTGCACATAAATAAAAATTACTGTTTCTAAAGTAAAATCCTCTGCATTTTTGTATGCATAAATTATAGCCACATCCTGTAATCCATTTTTCAGGCTAAACAATTGACTTCAATGGGAGTTGAGCCAGAGTAGGAGTTGGCCTATAGTCTTTGCTCAAAACAAGCAACATAACATATTATTAATCACCTTAAATAGAGACTATCACATTCAGTGATGCAATCCTACCTGTGGAGAAAATAAATACCTTTCCAGAAACCTTATGACTTCTCTCATTTACACTAGGCCAGGCTGCTCTTAAGAAAACTATTGTTCTGCCAGGGATAACAAGATTGCAGTGACTCCCTGGTCATATTGGAGGTTGACAAAAGGGTGGTGAGTACCCAGAAGAGTCTGTTATATGCCACCCTGTCTTTGCCCAAGGGCTCTAGAGGTAGTTCTTTCTTCCTATTCAGAGTTTTTATCTCCCATTAGAGCAACAGCCCTTCTGGGGGCTGCAGTTTTGGATTTTATTCTGAATTTTGTTCAAATTTATCTTTATCCATACTGCAACCACAGCCCTAAAGCTGCTGGTTATAATTCTCCAAAGTCTGGGGGAAACAATCAGTGTGGCCAAGAGTGAAGCTTGAATCCCTTTGTACGTGCCTGCATCACAACTGTTGGTGGGGAGAGGTGTTTGCAGAGGCCGCTGTCTCCTGTCCTGTTCCTGAGGAGCCACAGCTGTGTGCTTCCTCCCATGGAACTTGGAAGGGCTGCAAAGGAGAGGAAAGCCAAAGCCAAAAATAAAAACATGCGCAAAAGCAATGAGCAAAATCTGCCAGAGTCAGGGAGCCGTTGTACTGCTGGAGATGAGCCAGAAATCTGTGGAAGTCCCCTATTAATGCAATGGTTTGGTTGCAATTGCGTCCCCCCCACCCCACCCCACCCCTTCCTTCCCCAGGTGAATCTTGTCTTGCACGTATAAGACAGGCTGCAAAAAGCACACACACTTTTTTTCCACAGAGTTATAATGCTTGTTTTACAGGCTTTCAGCCTGAAAGTATATTTTTCTCCTCTTCTCTTGCAAATTTTGGGGCTTCCTAAGTTGCTGATGTGTGAAAGTCAGACAAGCCCTTAACATACTCAGTAAATCCAGTCTGTATATGCTTACTTTCTGCTCAAATTGATTGTTATTTTAACAAAGTGCTAACCTTAAATAAATGTTCATAGATCAGGTTGCTTTCCACTTTGTGCCAATGTTTAGGTCATTAGGTGCTGGGCTGCAAATGAACCATGCAGATAAGACCTAATGTTAAATATCTGGGATTTTTTTATAAAGGGAAAAATTCAGGAAGGATAAAAATCTCCTTGCTTCAGACCAGAAGACAGCTATTGACTTCCTAGCACTAGGAAGGAACCTTCTGAAGCATTTTCAGTTTGCCATCATCAGGAACAAGGTGATCCTGGTCTGATTCAAAACTCCCTGTTTCCACTGGCATAAGGAAAGTGCTCGTAGCAAAACTACTCCAGTGGAACAAAGCATATATATGGGAACAGAAGTAAACTCCAGGTTCCTTTCTAGCCTTTTACAAAAGGACATAGCATTTATTTCTAGAAAAGGCAGTTGTGGTTTGTGGGTTTGGTTTTCTTTTTCCCTCAAAGGACATAAGAATTGTATAAATTTATACTGAACTAATTTTTTACTATATTCTCAGTAATGTGTCTCTATATACATATATTTTGGGGTTACTTCAGTCAATTCTTTCTGTGTTATTTGGGAGAAATTTGTTTAAATATTTTGAGTGGAATGCTATGGTATATCTGAAAATTGCCTGTTCTTTCCTATTTGAGAAAAGCATGCAGTACTGAGTCGATAAAGCAAAACTTTGTATTTATTTTAGATAATTTAGTCTCTAATTATACAAAAGTGATGAGATACACAGAATCTGACCCAGAATTATGACTAGAAAATAATAATATTATCCTAATTAAAAACCATATAAGAGTTTGTTATCCAGCCTCAAATCCCTGACAGACTTCTACGCTCAAATAATCGCAGCATTTGCAGGCTAAACATTTAGTAAAAGTTTCATGGAAAAAAAATCCCTAATGATTTCTCAGCGTTTTTTAATATTGTGCCTCTTCTATAACAATGATGGCTTTTGGGGACTCTTGCTCACTTATGGGACATGTGGGTCATTGGAAAGCTTGAATATTCATTATGAGATGAGCTGGAACTGGATGTGCAATATGTTTGGTTGAGAACTAAATTTTATGTAAATTCTACAGTGATGTTTTCTGGCTCAGTTAGAATCCATTCTACTGTTTATCTTTATACTAATAATTGTCTCTTGGGCTTCTTTTTAAGCATCTCTGTATGCTTTTTTTTTCTTTTAAAATGAAAGATGAAGATCCAAAGAAAACAATTTTTAAAGATAGAAATAGAAACACTAGGTAAAAGGAATTAGCAATGCAATCTCTGCATATATTATGTGGAAATCTACTACAAAATTGCAGCTTGGAATTTTATTCCTAGGACATTAACTTTTTCATGTTTGAACAGTGTTGCTGCTTTGGTCCCCCATTTTTAAAAAAACCCTTTGGGTCTGCTTTTTATACCTATTTCTGCATATTTTTGTAATATTTGTTAAAATATTCCTTCTCCAGAATGGTAAACCCAGTTCTCTGGAAGAAATAAAATCTGTGGCATAGCTCTGAAATGAGAATTAACCTTGATTACTACAGTAATTTACTAATCAAAACTGGAGACCTGCTAATCAAGCCTGAATTACCAGCTGCTTGATTTTTATAGTGACATAACCAAAATTGAACATTTGGTAAACAAGAGTCTTATTTATGAGGGGGGGGAAATTGGCATATGGCCATATTCATTTTAATGTATTTATCACTATATTGTTGTGATTTCCTTATCAGCTGATGTAGGCATAACTTCAGCCATCCACCTCACCCTGGAAAGACGAACATTTAATTTTAGGTTATCCTAGAATCGGAGTCAGAGTAGACTATTTCACATTTTAAGGGGTTTTCTGATCTACCTGTTGTTTTTGGACCCCGGGAGGAGAACGACTGATGCATCACAACAGCCTTGTGTCGTAGAGCTGGTTAGAAAAGCACCTTGGAATAAAAGGAGCAGAAAACTGGAAACAGAAACGAGAGAAATGGAGAAGTGCCAGCGAGCAGACAGCTGGGAAAAGCTGCAGGAGGAGATGGCAAAGAGCATCCATGGTGAGCCCAGGGCCAAGGGGGAGCAGGAGGCTCTGGAGAGGCAGGAGAGAGGGAGAGGACCCAGGGGAAATGGTGGGAGTGAATCACCGAGGGCCTGATGGAGGAAGGCACTGACGGCTCCTGCGAGTAAGTGCATCGCTTGTGCAAATGGACAATGTGCCAATTATTGCAGCCTATCTGATGGGTCTGGGATTTTTTAAAGTAGTTGTCTGGTTTCCATAAGTGCAACTAATTTCATGTTTTTAATCATTTCTTTTCGGTCTGATTTCTGTTCATTTTTTCCAGCTCCCAGATGGCATCCTGTATCCACTGACACAGAAAATAATTTCCCAGTATTTTCTTTAATGAATGACCTATTATGAACAAGCAGGGAAAACTCATATCATGCAATTCTTCCATAGAATAACCGATCATTAATATAAATTGAGAGAAGACCCCAAAATGGGATTTTTTTTGTTGTTGTTTGAGCTGTGTACAGTATTTTATTAAGGTGGCTTGTGTGTTTTTTTAAAATGTCTTGTTCAAATGATATTGTCATGGGTAACTGTGCTGTTAAAAAGAGGTAAAGAACAGAAACACAAAAAAGATTATTCCTAGAATAATGTGTACAGCATGAAATTCTCAGCTAGTCAGGCTCTTCCTCATTCTCTGCACTTTACTTTAGACCTAATCCCTCATTCTCTCAATTCTTAGCATAGAAAATATATACCAAAGCTATTGCTGCTTCCATTTTTTCACCATCTTATCTCACAAACCTGAAATACTGTTTCTCCCTTTAAGTCTTGAATGTACTTATGCCTAACAGGAATGAAGGGATAAATTGAAATGAGTGAATGGTTTATAGCCTATTTAAACCTTGGGAAACACGTGTGTGTAGTGACTGTATGTTTAGACACAACCCTGCAAAGCTGCAAGGGGCCACAGCTCAGCAAGTGCAGCCCAAATTAGAGCAGCAAACTTACCTGCTGGGATCCGTGGGCAGGCTTCAGAGGGGTTTTAAGCATCAGGAAAATGTGACCAACTACAAGGTAAACCAGAGTGCTGTTCCTAATATTGTGTACTCTTGGCAGGAGGGGCATCCACGAGGTTAAAGAGTCCAGATTTTAGGGATGCATGCTGTAAGTGCACTCAGAAGGCAATGACTTAGAATATTTGGAAGGCTAAGGAAATAAGAGTGAAATAAGTGGCTTAGAGTTTATCAGGGGGATATTTCCCCCAACAACTGGAATAGGGCTCAGCTCCACTCCACTTCACATCCCTGCTTCCCCCTAAAGCCACATCTGTGCACCCAGAAACTTTCCTCGGTATTGGCTTACTTATTTAGGATGACTTTTACCCACCATCAAAACTTCAGAAGCCCAACAAATCCACCTGGAAATTTGGACTGTTTCAAACTGCACTGGAAGATAACAGGAGCTCCACAGAGACAAGGAGCATATGAAGTCACTGAGGAAGGAGTACTTGCAAGGAGGGAGTGATTGCTAGGGAGGAAGGCCAGAGAAAAAGTGGAAAACAACAACAGAAGTAGTGGCAGAAAAACTGAGAAGAGGGAGCAAAAATGGTAAAGTGACACCATAATGCTTTACTGTCTCTGAAGCAAGGGAAAATTGTGAAAGCATTCATTTATTCATTTTCAGCCAAAGAAAAAACCTAGGGCATAAAAAGAGGAGGCAAAAAGAAAGAACAGAAAGTAGAACATGTGAAGGAAAAAGGCAGCAAAGAAAGAGGAAATTCAGAGAAAGGAGAAACAAGTGCTGGAAGTAAAGGAATAGATGGTGGGGGAGGAGGCAGCACAAAGAGATTCGACATACAGGGCTTTTAGGTAAGTGAATTTTATTTGTATATGTCATTTCCTACTTTTTATTGCATTTCTTTGGCAACCATCCCACAGTTCCATAACCTATGGGTGGGTGGGAGGAGGTGGCTAAGAGGGCAAAATGGTAGTTTTTGGCAGAATATTGACATGACTTGAGTCAGGTCATTACTTGTGGTTGTCATTAGACAAATAGTGAAACTGGGTTAATGGGGCAGGTGTTTATGAATCCTACAGGCTAGAGGAAGCTCAGCTTTCAAAACCTGACTCACATAGAAAGGGAGAGGCCCAAATGATTCAATGCAGTGAAAGCAATGGTGAGCAGTGATTTCAGTGCTGCAGGGGCCAAGGGGACACATTTCAGATTTACGAGATGGTTCCCGACTGTCAGATGTGCTTCAGCCTCCCAGCAGACCTTGGAAGGTGGACACCGAATAGGTTTCTGTATTGTTAACTTCCTTCTTTGCAACCATCAGATGGATATATTTTTTGTAGTGCAAAATGAGATCCTGAAGCACAGGTATATGGCAAAATATGACTTTCATGGAAAATGTTCTGAACTCCATCTTTTCTGGGTACCTTGGTTTATTTTTGCCCTCTGTTTGACTCTTTACAGGCTTTTTTTCCTAATTATCTTGAATTTTAAGTGGAAGCATTTCTCAAACATACAGTATCAAATGAAATGAGTTAGGATTTTTGAAGACTTTAGAACTCATGCAGAAGCTGCCATCCTGAGTCAGACAAAATGTCCATGTAGACCAGTGCTTTCCCTCTGAGAGTGAGAGGAGCAAATGTCTAGGGAAAAACTGTATGAACTCTGATATATCACTCATATAGAGCAATCCTTCTTCCCCTGTGTGCTCCTGCCCTCTGAGGATCAGCGTCAGAGGCATTTTGATTTGGAGGCTGGATCTTGATCATCATGTTTAGTAGCTGGTGATGGATTTCGTTTGCATGATTTCATGTAATCCCTTTTATGGTCCATTTACACTTTTGACCTCCACACCATCCTGTGGCCATGAGTTCTGTAATTTCATTATGCGCTGTGAGGATAAAATACTTCTTTTGTTTGTTTTAAGACTGATGCCTGGTCATTTAATTGGGGCTCCTAGTCCTTGCATTTGTGGCAACTGTTGAATAATGGCTCTATATGTTAGAAATTAGGTTTTTGAAATAGAAAATCTCTCTTGCAATTTTAAAGCCTTATGATCTGGCAAGCTCTTCTTCTTGTGAATCTTGCCATGAAAAAAGGAAAAATTCCCAACTCCAACTGCAGTCTGATGAAGTTAGAATTAGTTAAAGCAAAAATAGCTTTATAGTGTTCATACTGCACAGATAAGTAGCCTTAAACTTGTATGTCCTATATGGTTCACGTCTTATGTCACATCACAGTGCTCTTATCATTTTCACAATATATGAAATAATCCATTTGTAATGCCATGATCTGTGGCACAACTATTAAGTCATAAGTGTAGCAATGGGAGAGTATGTTCACTGAGTTCTCTGCAACAGCAAGAAGGGGAAAGGCCTGGAAAGTCAATTCAAAAGCTAGGGCTAGACTTTGAACAAGTCACCTGAGCATGGACAGACAGCAGTGTACAGTGGGGTGGACTAGGGTGTGAACTCAGAGCTTCTCAGAAGCTTTGGTGATTTCCATTTTCACATGCCAGCTCCCTGGTACCTGATGTAAATGTGATTGTTTCTTTTCCACCCGCACCCAGGCTGTGTTGTGCTTGGTGCTGGGTGAGAGCCTGTGTGGGGTGCTCTCTGTGGGGTGGCTGACAGGGCTGTGCTGTGCACCCTGCTTTGGCCTGCCGTGATTTGCCTGTACACCTCCACCCTTGGTTCCTTGGCCTCTGTGGTCCCTGGCCAGGTAGAGAAGGAGCCAGTAACTGTGTGGATTTGTCTGGCACAGCAACAGGAGAGGTGAGCCTGAGGGAGCTGGAGAGCCATCCAGTATGCAGGAAGCAGTGTGGAAGGATCTGTGCTTTTCCCCAGTCTCCCATATTTCACCCTGTGCAGGCAGGAGCAGGAAAGAGAGACGACGTGAGGCAGTGTTTCCATCTTCCTACAGCTGGTAGTTATCCAGCATCCTCTCTGCAGCATCTTCCAGTTCTGTGTTATTGTGTATCATTCCAGTCAGATTGCTTCAGAGAGAGACAAAGAACAGATTCCAGGATAAAATCAAAACTGCTCCAGAAATGCACTGTGTGTGGCAGTATTTGGAGCAGTGGTGAGAGGTTTAAAAAAGAGTTTGACCCTAACCCAAGAATCAAATTTAATGTCAGAGAGTTTAATGCAACACAAGGTGTGGTGGAACAAAGACTGTTGGGGGGTCTCGTTTATATTCAGTTATGATGAGCAATATTCAGCACTTAAAAAGAAAAACAGTGCAATGGCTTTCATTGAATTGTATGAAGAAACAGGATAACTTTAACAAATATCACAAAACATGTCACAAATCAATTGTATTGAAAATATATTGGGTTTCTTTAAAAGAAAAGATCAGAAAAGGAAGCAGCACAAGCAGGAGGAGAGACAGCACACAAAGATTTACTTCTGAGTGCTACAAAATATTGAACTAAAAATAACATTAAAGATGAAATTTGCAATGAATCTCAAGCTGCTAAATTCCCAAAGGCTGGGTCTGCCAAAGGCTCTGTTGGTTTCCTCTGTTCTTTTCTGTCTTTATTTAAATATTTTATACAGTTGTCTATGTTCATGTGTAGCGCGAACTGTCATTTATATTTCAGTCCACTCTAAAATGGATCTTAGACTATCTCAAGCTGTGCGCTGCAGAGAGTAGTTTTGAACTGAGAGGTAAGCTGAAGTGGTAGGGACAAATGAAGACTGATATTTAATGTAGTTTTTGTGTACTCATATTTTGCTGTCATGTATTTTGCCTTAAAACTGATTTGTAATTTTCTGTGTTTTGTGTCATTATGATAAGATGCGATGCGAGAGGGGTTTCCATTTAGCAAACACATTGATGTGTTTTTGAGTCGGAGTGGCTGAATTCTGAATTCTGACCTTAGGGTTTAATGTTTAGCAATAACAACATGCAAGTTTAGATCTGCAGTCTTAAATGCTCCTCCTTGTGCTTTGGGCTTGCCAAGGTCAACTTTTTAATATTAGACAGTCTTGAGCTTATTTTAGAATCACTCCTCTGGTAGGCCCACAGGGTGCTTAATATCCTCACGACTCCATTGTCTCAGGAATACAGGGCTCACCTTACACAGAAAAACTGGGACTCACAGTGGAGCTGGATGCTTGGGAGAGATTCTCTCACCCTTCTGGTGTTGGGGGAGGAAGCAGAGAGACCTGTTATATCCCCTACAAATTGCAGCAGCCGTGGTGGCTGGGGCACAGCGAGAGCTTCCTAATTGCTCCCTGCAGGGTGGGAGACACCCGAGCTGGGGCTGGAGGGGCACGGGAGGCAGAGCTGAGCCCCCAGCCCAGCACTGACAGGGTGATGGCATGGATGGGCTGCAATCCCTAAAGGAGAAGGAATTCCCTTAAGGGATGGTGATGCTGCTGTATCCTGACCTTAAGTCAGTCCTGTTGCTGATACACTGTGCTGTTAGATTAGGTAAGAAATGTTAAGATATATTGAGGTGGGATTCTGCATTGTTTTTACACCAGCATGAGGAGGAACAAAATTAGTAGTGTTGGACTCCATTTCATCGATTCTTATAAAAGAAAGAATTCTTAAGAAATTATGTTGCTTTCTTGCTTCTGAACAGCAAGTCATACAGAATAAAAATTTTAAATAATGACTATTAGATTAGGAAGTCTAAGAAGCTTTTGCTACTTGGGAGCCTTGACTATTAAAAATTGATAAATTGCCACTGAAATACAAGCAGCTCTGCAATATGATAGATCAAAGTTCATTTTTTCTCCTAATGCAGAGTTAAGATGAGCAGACTTACTTTTTGCTCATCTTCTTTGCAGATCAAAAACATTCTTTTCTTTTTATTTGAGCGATCAGTGTACTAGAAGAGCCCAATGTATATGTTGTGACTGTAGTAAAATTCTTATTCACAAGCCCTTAAGTAGTAATACAGCATTTTGGCATTATGCAAACCTCAGTACATCTTAGCACTGCTGTCCAAAGTGTATAGTATGTCTCCTCCACATAATACTGATGTAAAGGTAATTAATTGTAGAGCATGAAGTGATTTTTCCTAAAATATTTTGACCACATTATTAAAAAGCTAACTCTTCTCAGTAGTGCTTCCACACCGAGTTAGCAGAAAGACTTCAGTATGTTGTGTTTTAGTGGACTGTATTCCATAGAAAGGACTAGAATGACTGAAATGTAAACCTTGGAAAGACTTTGCTCATGGCTTTTTCCAAATCTATTAATTGCATGTCAATGTAGCTACATGAGGTTTTATTTTTTGTGTGTAATAGATATATACTATTATTTTCCAAGCATTTATAAATCCACTCTGTGCTAATTTGCATTTTTTAAAACCTTATAAATTAAGTAACACTAATCTATGTAATGAACATGCAACATTAAACACTTTTAAGGGCAGCAAATATGATCATATCCTTCAGAAAATATTTCTAACATGTGTGATTTCCAACCCACTAACTTACTTGTAAGTTGTATAAAAGCTGCAGTTGATAACAAGGTCTTGTGTATCTGGATCTTTGGGTAAACAGTGTCTGCCAGTGTAGCTGGAGGAGACAGACATTTCCATTTTTAAGATCAGTTCTGTGAAGAAAATCCTTATGTGGGTGTCCACAGCCTGGCAGCTGATCTGAGGTCAGGCACAGTGTGCACACACTGCCATAACACCCTCCACCCAAGGAGGAGGGAAATCCTGCTTGTGGCCCCACGAAGGTTCAATGCAGCAAAACACTTAAGCACGTAATTAGTTTTAAACGTAAGGGGTGATATATAAGTTAGAAATATACTTTGCTTGAAGATGTGGGATCAAAAACATATATTCTGGAAGGAAGTATGTAACGCATGAAAATATATTGTATGGGAAAACATTTAGAGATAGCTAGATAGGAAATGATGGAAGCCCTTGATTTCAGTTCAAGGAATACTTACATTTACAGTATTTTATTTCACATTAGCCTTCAGTAGTCTGCCATACTCTGTATCAGGCCATGAAATTTTCATCTATGTAGTCTTAATCTTTGGAACATAAAGATTTACCATCTCTGAGCCTGATTTGGCTCATCTTGGAGTTGATGACAGAAATCCCAATTTTGCTCTCAAAGGGCATGATTGGACCAGTTAACATTTATTTCAGCCTTGCAGAAGGACATATTCCTCATTTTATATATAAAGTATGCCAAAATAAGATTAAGAGACTTTGTGAACATTGCATGGTAAGTCAGTGGCACGTAGTCATAGAACTCAGAATTCCTTCCTTCCTGACTCTGACTTCCTTGTTTTATACTGTACTTTGGATAATGTGTCTGCATTCCCACAGCAATATTCTTCTGGCACACGATAATGCAATAGTTTTGAAATATGCTTTTCATGTGATGTGTGAAAACATAAAATCTATAGATGTGCAGTATACATGGATAAAAGAATTCATATTACAATATGTAGCTACAAGCATAATAAATGGAAATTGATGAAAAGGGAATCTTTCTACTGCTGGGATTTTAGGAATTAGACAAATGTGTGTAGTTCAAATAAGGCAGAATTTCTGCTTCTTGTCACAGGAAGAGCGATGAACATGTATCAGAAGAGAAAATCAGCTGCTGCTTGGTAAGTACCCTATGATTTTTCTTGACTGCTGCCATTTGGGCCCTACCAAGTCCAGTACTTACTGTGCAGATCAGGGCTGCAGACTCCTTTCATGTTCATCTGTCATATGAAAAGACAGTCTTAGAAAAACTAGAACTATAGCAATACAATACCATTTCTTCAGAAATATTTTTATTAATTAATTTGCTCTGCAAGTGGGAGCTAAATCAGTATATTGGTGAAGTTAATTCTTGGTCCAGTCTTTTCATCTTGAAGGCAGAAGAGAATCCCAGAGAAGTGACACTGAATGCTATTTTTCTCCTATTTTTATAAGCAGTCATTGCCCAGTGAAGCAAGTCTTTGATCTAAATGTTTATGCTAAGTGGTTTTAATTCTTCTTCTTGTTGTTGTTTAATAGTAGTAGCAGTAGTAATAGCCTAAGTAGGAGTATTACTGGAAGGCCCTCTGTAAGGCTCTGCCCAAGGAGCTCATTAAAGGATAGCACTCGGGAGATGATGCCCTATCCAACTGGAATCAGCAGGACACAGGAACTACATCCCATACGATGAATAACAAAAGAAAGGGTAGTTTACATTCTTTGATACATTTCTGCTCGATTAACCCCCAGTGGGATTTTACCCCTCCAGTCACATTTTTTTGTTCCTCTAATCTTCTTTTGTGTTTGCTCACTGACCCCAAGCATGTATTTGACTTGTGACCCTATTTCTGTTAATAAAATACAGGCCATCTGACCAGCATTCGCACCACTCAGCTACAAGGTGATGATTACCTCATTGTAAATGCTCTGAGTTAGCAACTCCCAGTGTAAGGCTGGTGGCTGGGTGGGCTGAAGGTAACCAGTGGAGGCAGCAGAAGCATAATCTGAACTGTGATTTCGAAACCAAACTACAGATAATAAACTCCTTCAAAATATGTAACTCTGTCCGTAGAAGAATTGTATATCTCCTTATGTATTGTTCAGCTATTAATTAGTTGATAATGTTTAGGGGATTATGGCATGACAAAAAACAATTATGGCTATAATGTGGAAATTTTCAGTGTCTGTATGGGTGGTAGCTTATAAAATCAGAATTATCCTATTTCCATTTTGGGTTATCAATTATAATAATATGCCTCATGAAAAAAATACATCAGCACTCAATGGTAATAATTTCAGTATAATGTTTTGAGGCTAAATTAACACTTGAAAGCATAGGTGAGCTCTTTCCAGGCAAATATTTGTTTTTAAAGCCCTAGCAGACATGCAGGATGTTTGGTTTTTTTTTAAGAAAAGGCATAGTAATGAACTTATCCATGCTTTCACCAAATCCTTAAACCATGAATCTTATGAAGAACACTGTTAATTGTGTGTTACATGAAAAAATCATGCCAAAGCCATTTATCAGACATGTAATCTGTGTCTCTGTTTTGTGACAGGAAGCCATTATTTCCACTGAAAAAACAAATCCGTTAAATTTGAACTATTAGATTACAGCAGGGTTAAGGCTGCTTCTGTGCTGTAGAGTCACATCAGGGTCACAGCCCAGTTCGAGAGATGTACTGCAAGAGCTTCATATCTGATTAAGACAAAAAACTGATAAAAATGTAATGCAGACTAACAATATGGAATTATCTGATGCAGTTTGGGGGGATAGGGGCAGGGGGTATAACATCATTCAGTTTATTTGCATATGTTTGTTCTTTCTACTGAAATCAATCTCTTTGAAGGAAGCAAGAAAACTTTAGAAAAAGAAAATATTATTAATGCTGGTAAGAGAACACAGAAGAAAATCTTTAGTAAACATTTCTTTTCCAGTGTTGATTATCATTCTGTCTAATGTTTATTTTCATAGTTTTCTTTGATCCAAACACAAATAACAATAAAGTTAGCTTCATTTCTTTGAACTAACAAAACTATACTGTGGCCAAATTTGGAACAAATTTTTAAGTGGCTTTTTTGTTTTCCTTCAAAGCCACATACCAGATTTATAGAGTAGATATTTGTGTAACTCACAGCCTCTCCTATATAGGAATGTTTCTATGGCCAACAGTAATTTACCTGCTGTGGGCCTCCTCCTGACTGTGTTGAAAGGCTGAGGGCTGTGAACATCTTGGGCATGTACTCAGTAGTGGTCCAGGGAGCACCAGTGACCAGGGCTCTGGGTCAGGGCTCACCCCCTTGTGTTATGGAAGTTGTTACAGTTTGTAGGGATGGAGTGTGGCTCCATGGGGGTGGCTGATGGGTTTAAACCCAGAATGGGGTCAGTGCACCCTCACTGCAGTTCCTGGCCACGCAGAGAGGCAGGGCAAGGGTGGCAGAGCACCAGCTCTGTGCCCATGGGACCCTCTGCTCAAGGGGAGCTGACGAGGTGTTGTTACTGCTCCTCACTGCTGGACCAGAACCAAGCACAGGTTCTGTCTTCACAATCTGCTCCCATCAGAATCTGACAGACAAGTATCTACCATAGACTTAGAAACAACTACATTCCTAATGTAGATATTGTACAGTTGTAAAATATGTACTACAGTATTTACCAGAGTGCTTGAGACTAGGTCTGCATTGCTGGGGGAGTTTTAGTCTGTACATATTTAAAAACTCTGCCAAATCACAGATCTGCTTAGGAGACTTGGCAGTACCTGCTGGGGCAGTGGTCAAGAGTCCGTACCAGTGATGGAAAGCATGTATGTCACCCTCAGATTACAGCCAGCATCTATTCTGGCTATTCTGCTCAGCCCTCCTGCATGCAAATATTGGCTCTGAAAGTGGTGAAAGTTATGAACAAAGACCACGATGTCAGTCAGGAACCACAGCCTCAGTCAGTCAGCTACAGAGGAGCCATATGCTGGATAAACTGACTGCTTTTAAGATTTTTGAGGATATGATACGGAAATATGTATCCAAAACTCACTGTTATTTTGCTCTCCCATTATATTCCCATGTTTGTCCCACTGCTTAGCCTAGCTGAAACAAGGGCATCCAGGCTAATGATTGATTGCCTCTGTGAGTAGGTCCAAGTTTCATTCTTAAATCAGCCAGCATGTGGTTGATGACAGGGACAAAGCCAACCCTCATCACTCCCTAAGCAAATCATCTTCTGCTTTACTGTACACTTCGACCAAATTATGATTTCACCATTGAAATAAGTGTCAAAATTTCCACCAGCTTTGAGTGGATTTGGATTTGGCCATTGGCTTCTAGGTGCAAATGGCCTCTTAAAGGGCTTACTTTTTAATCAGGAGGTGTTTAAGTGCTTCAAGAGAATATAAAAATAGTAATGAATGCAAATGACATGAGATCAGGTATTGCTAAAAAGTGTCATTAGAAAATGTTTAAGGTTAAATCAGAACTAATTCCAGTGCCTGCAGGTGACTCACACTTAAACAAAAATGAAAATTTGGGTTCTAAACTGTGTAGAAGAGTTTTTGGTGAGCCTTTTTACTTTTTTTTTTAGTGAAGGCATTGTTGGTTGGGTTGGAGAGGTTTTTAATACATATAAAAAAATGAGCAGAAAGCCTTGTATGGGTGTAGTAACATCTGCCTGACTCTGCAGAAGCCTGAAGCAGCAGCAATGAGAGGTATAATGCTTGAAAACTAAAGATGGTCAGCTATGCCATGCTGAAAACTCAGGCTATGTTACAGCTCAGAACCAATGGGAATCCATGTACAAATAAATAGTGTATAGCTTACTGTAGTGATGGCCCCATTTGGGAGGGGTTGTGTTTGCATTCTAATATTCAGCTAAATAATGTTTAATTTAATGTTCTATTATTTTTATATTCAAACGAAATCAAATATCTGCAGTTGTTGTGATAACATGCATTGCCACTGATGGCCCAGGCTGAGGTGGGTGCAAAGGAAGCAGGTGATGTCCTGGCCTAGCTGCTTTGTAGAGTAGGTCTGCCTTGAAAATTCCTCTTCAAAATGTAGGACTACTGTGTTCTTCACATCTAGGGTCTTAAACACGAGTTGTGCCTCGAAAATCTTATGTTATATAGTCCCATGGTAATTCTTCTTCCTTAATCTCTAGTAATTTTCCTCTGCTAGGTCCCGTCTGTCCCTTCTGCTCAGCGGGAGGAGGTTGTTCCTTTTCTTTGTTCTATTAATTCTCTCATAGCTACTATCTACTACATTCCATGTAACATCCACATTCAAGCTACTAAGCCAGTGTTCAAGTATATTAAATCCTCCATTTTAAAACAATAATAAAAGGTTTTTACTGAATAAATACATAGAGCTTCTCTTAGGTCATGCAATAAGGAAACTGAATATAGAGCTAAAGTTCCCAGAACTTGGGAGGACAAAGGAGCAGTTTACCACAGAGCCTTTCCCAACACTCAGAGCTCTGATAGTCCTTAGAGGAAATAATAAATCTTTCTCTTTGTCGCTCTTCTCTAGGTTTCTTTTGTTGTTTAGGATTGAAAAAAATAAAAAGTGTAGGTACTACTTACAAGGCAGCTTCCTTGATGTTTCTGGTAGTCCAATCAAGGGACAAGATTGTGTGTATAGGAAGGGGAGATGAACAGTTCATCCTGTAAAGGAATTAAAAACAAAAGTGGAAATCCTTTTTAAGAAGAAGAGTGGTAGGGATTATACCTGCGTGCTTTCACTAATGACTTTGCAAACATTTAGCCAGAGATAACCTAGAAATCCAGTTGCACTTTATTTAATATTCAGATAAGGACCATTCACCTGCTGTTAAGCTACAACATCTACAATCATTCTTTGAATACTGATAATTATATGAAGCAGGCTTCCCCAGAGGCTGGTAGTCTAGTCTGGATTCACCTGGAATACAAAGATGAATAATATTGCATATTACATGCACCCAAGTAGTTGCAATTTATAGAAATGTCCATTTATACTCCTGGAAAAAAGATGTGTATTTCCCTAGGGATATAGTATATGGTGATAAAAACCTGTGTGGGGGACTGTTTGGATTGTAACTCCTAGTGTGCCTGTTGTTGATTAATTGATAAACAAATAAATCATTATATTTAGCCAGATATCTCACTACAGCCCACAAAAGAGAAAATGTTAAAAAGGAATTTTGTGTGCCTCCCCATAAGGAAGGGTTACTCAGAGACACAAGAAATGAGTACGAGAAGTGTCATCCAAAGGCTCAGAGTTGATGTGTGTACACATTTCTAAAGGATGAGTAGCATTATGAATATGCTCTCCTCGCCCCCTCCTTTCCTCCTCTTTCTCCCATCAGGTGCCTTGTCCTTGTTCTCCCCTCTCATTTGCTGATGGCTGATAACACCTTATCTCCACCAGGGAAGCAACTGGGAAGTTTGCTCCTTCCTCACAAGACTGAGGGTATAATTAGAACCATGCACCTGCTCAGTCCTCCGGTGACTCGGTTAGTCTACATTCATGTCAAAATCCATGCTGTGAGGGTAATTTGATCATCTCACTTACTTTTTTCATATACTTTATATGAATAAACCACCAGTACAAGCCTCCGTTGAGTTGGTTCAGTTTAATCTCACAAATTTGTGTCAACTCTTTGTTGCCAGAAGAATTTTATCATTTGATCTCATGGTTACACTTTAGTAGACTTTAGTACATATTTTATTTCACTCTCCAGAATATAAAATTCCATTTTGTGTCAAAATCATCTTTTTATTATTATCTATTTATATTTCTGAGATACTTACAGACTTCAACTGAGATCAGGGTCTTGTTGTACGAGACAATACAGAAACATGCAATAAAAGAATTCTAGTCCCAGGAGCCTTGTAAGCTGAATAAGGCTGAGAGAAAGGAAATATTACCTCTTTTTACAGATGGGAAACCAAGGCTCTGACAATCTCTCTGTACAACGCAGTGTTACTGAAGAGTGATACTGAAGAGAGAGTTCTGAAAAAGCAACAAAGTCCAGAAACTATGCAAAATAAAGGTGGATTTAAACCCTATTATACTGGCAAGCATCTATTCAAGTCCAAATAAGTCAGAGATGCACACTAGTTTCATTTGCACACTGAGCATCCCAAGGCTCTCTTGGCCTTCTCCATCCTCATGTGTCTCCCAGAACCCCTTGAAAGGCAGACAACACCGTTTTTTTGATGCTGTCTTAAGCTTGTACAAGTTTGCCACTGCTTCCTCTAGCACTTAACAAAAATGTACCTCAAGCCCTGCAATGCCACAGGGGTGTCAAATCTCTCTGACTGTAGCAGCTTCCAGGCTCAGCAGAGATACATCAAGAGTCTGTTGGGTTCTCCTTCCCAGCATCCAAAGGGTAACGTGATCCTTTTGTCCTTGGACAGAGCCTGGAATCTCCTGTGTTAGAACACTTCACTGCTCCCAGAAGGCCCTGTAAGATCCCAGGGAGGCAGCAGCCAACAGAGGATATTCACTAAAGACCAAGCAGCAGAGCAGCACTTTGGTATTCCCTGAAGACAGCAGAAATGAGAGGAAATGGTAAGTTCACTGTCTCCCTTTCAGAGATGACTAAATTTAGGAGGGGAGTCTGCCAGGAATGGGAGGGGGGGAGATGTAGGAGTTTGTACAGAGGTGCTTGTGCCCCCTCAGATCCGCTGGGTTGCTGCAGACGTTCACACACCAGCCTGCTGAATTTGGTTTGCAGAACTCTGTGAGCTAAACTCTTCACCGTTCTAACTGCACCACTATAACACTGCCTTTCGACTAAAAACCAGTTCAGACTAATTGTCAAGGATCAGATAACAGGAAAATATTTCTATTTGACAGTCTACTATTTTTCAATTGTTCCTCTGTTACATATCTAAGTAAACATTTGTTCCACTTATCATTTCTGAGGAAAAGACATGAATCATTTGACTAGTAAAACCACAACGACAGCTGTTGCTTATTAGAAACAGTCATCTTGTTCAAGAGCCTGCTATGGAGGAGTTCTTCAGGAAACTGTTTCTCCTTTTAGTGCTTTACAGTGCAATGAAAGCAAAGTTGTAGAAATTAGGGCATTTTTGTTTCACTTATGTGATTGGCAAAACACCCAGGTGCACACACATGGAACAATCATTACAGCTGAGTTAGAAGCCCCCAAGAAACAGGAAAATACTCAATTAAGAATGCTACTAATGATGTAATACTTATGTTCTTCGACTTTGTGGCATTTATACAGACCCTACATTATAGCTGAAACAAAACTGGATTTAAGGGTCCCTTGGTAAACAGATTGTAGTGTTTGGGATTTTGGTGTTAGATGCAATATTTATACCAGTTATTATGCATGTACCAGAAATATTTTTCATCATTTATGTTTTTTCCGCTCTTAGGAATAAATTGACCTTGGATTCATAAAATCCCTAGAAGCCAGTCATTGGTGGTCACTAGTACATTACTTTCAGAAAAAGCTTTTCAGGCCAGTGATTAAAAAATAAAAAAGAATAATTTTTAAAAGTCTGGTCAGGATGGAAAAAACAGAGAGAGCAACAAAATACTTTTTAAATTAGAAACAAAATAAGAAGCAAAAATTGGACCTTGACAAATTCAAGAACAATGAAGTGAAACTAAGTCAGGTTAGACATAAAGATTTTTCCCTCCCTGGAGTGCTGATTCAGAGGCTTAATAGACCATAAGGGCCAAAATCTGTTTCTGTGACCTGTGTGGAACAAAATTGTATTAAACAGAGGCCTAAGAGTTAGGCATTTTATGAGACAAAATCACTGGAATGGTATACCCTGTATGATGCCATTATTGTCAGCTTTGAAGGGAGAAGCCAAAGACTAAATGAGCATAGAGACTGCACTGATCCCAGCAGAGCAGAGGGGAGGAACCTTGGCAGGGCAGTGTAGAAATACTACCAAGTAGTCTGCTCTGCAGGTAACAGGAGAGCTTGTGGCTTTGTGGCTGTTACTTAAATACCTTTCAAACCCACAAAATTAATTTGCAAACATTGAAAGAGTGAAAAAGAAAATCATTTAAATGGATTGTTGGATTATTTTCCAAAAAAAAAAAAAAAAAAAGGAAAGCAGAGCCGGGAAACTGGAAAGAAGTGTGTCACTGAGCTGAGGTTTATTATGAGTTAGAAATCTGCAAAACTGTCACCAATTCAATAATAGTATTCAGCAAGGTTTCCAGAGATCATATCCTGCCCTTCATTCACCCTCCCAACACTCAGTGATGGGAGTCAGCACTTTGCTGCAGCTGGATATTTAGAAGTCATTTGTTCTGTGTAACATGCCTGTTCTTACTAATCTTAGTCAAGTAAGTAGTCCATCCTCATGTGTCATCCCACAGAAGTCAAATGTGCTATTAGCATAAGTGATGATTACTTATCTGTGTGAGGTCCTGGGAGGTTGGGTCTTTCAGCATCAGTATACTTGACATGGCAGTCTTTCTATTGTAATTTAATAAAATGGGGCCCAATTCAGTTCAGAGGTGCCTTGAGGAATAAGCTGGACTTAAATGGTACTTAGGCCTTTGACTGGACCTCTGCAAAGCCTTCATTCATTGAGTGAATGCTAATTAGTCAGAAGGGGGTTATTAAATAATAGACTCAGTTCTTTATCTTTGCTTAGAGCACGATACCTTTGCAAGTGCCTGAGCAAAGTACTGTAAAATCTGAACACACTCAGAGGAAATTTCAGGTACAATTTCTTTCCCAAGTAAAGACAAGGACTGCAATGTCATTAATAAACAGTAAAGAGAATTTGTACATGTCAGTTCTAGAATACAGTGCACTAAAAATGGGCAGTGTGGAAAACTGCATCTCACAGCTGCACTGGAATGGAGATCTCCCCTCCAGACAGGGGGGTGGAAAAGGCCTCATCCAGAACCCTGTGCACTCTGGAAATCTGAGTCTGATGAGTTCTGAATTAGGCCCTTCTTGAGCAGGCACTCTTAGACACCCTCAATATCCAAGTCCTGGATGATTGTGAGCAGTAAGGCGCTCAGTGTAACATCTATAAACAGATCAGTTACCCCTAATCAACTACGCGGTGCAAGGAGGAATCAATCAGTTCATTTTCTGTGCCATGCACCTCTCCTAAAGAACAGCTCCTAATTGCTGCATGGATAAATGAGGAAGAGATATCACTCATGCTAAACATGTTATTTTAAGGGGTTACAGGTATTTCTAACAGCTGAGAATCTCTTGCTTTTTGGATTTCTCATATCTTTTTGTTCTGCACCTGATTTCTGAGCAGTTACCAGCCTCAGAGTGGCTCCTGTATTCTTGCTGAACCTTCATTTTAAGATCCTACAGTTCTCATAGCATTTACATATTTTGCGAATGCTGCAGCAATTCCTTGTAACTTTTGTGGTCATCTCCTTAATTCATAGTTTCCTCCAATTCCCAAAGTGTAATGGACATAGGAAAATTTTTGGATTATAATTTCCTAACCAAATAGCTCTTTTCTCTGCTCTTTGTTACATGTGATCTGCTATAGTTGCAGAACACATCTTCTATGTGACACCACAAGAGTTTTAAACAAAAATAAGATATTAAAAAAAGTCTTAATACAAAAAAATATTGCCCAGGTGTTCAGTTCAGAGGGTTTGGCATAGTACATCCCAAACAGTAGACTCATTCTAACATTCGATCTTTACCTTTCCTGACTGTATCTGTAAAACAACCTGCTATTTGTGTATTACTGCATTTATGCTTTTCAACCAAGTGTTTGTGAAAAATTGCATTTATTAATCAGGACATCAATGCTTGCCAGATTAGGTATACCAAAGGCATATATGCAGGTCAATCCTGTACCATCACACGTACAAAGTGCATTTTACACAACGCATCGCTCAGACTTCTGGGGAAAGACTAAAATCTGAATAGTAGGTGGCAAACAGGTCCTCACTACATTAATAACAACAAAGGATCATCATTGTCAATATTAATGAAACAGTGCTAGAAGAGCTTTTTTATCATTGCCTGGACAGCGTAAGTTTTTTTCCTATTAGATTTTTAATCAAGTTCAGACATTTTCAGAGCTGAGAGGCCTTTGCTGTCTCGTGCCCTTGTACAGCCTAACAACATGGCCACACTTCAGCCAGCTGTAATCCATATGAAGTCAATAGGACTTTCAAGTATGACAATTAAAAACCTTTGGAAAAAGCTTGCTTAATCAGTTTTTAAAAGATTTCAAGATCTGTATGTGTCCGCCATTATTTAAAATAAGCATTTTTTATTTGCTAGCCATCCAAGGACCTGGTTTTTCTTCATTTTCCCATTAGCCTGGCAGTTTAGCCAGTAGAACCCTTTTATTCCTCCCACTGGAGTAGCAGAGAGAAATTCATTTGATTCTAGTGGATAGTAGTTGATTTCATTATCATATTATAGAAAATAAAGATTACAATTCCAAATTATTTTGCCTGCAGTCCACACACTAACCATGTAAATGGCAATATGTGGAAAAGTTGACTGCATCATAAAAAATTTACTTCCTGCAAGGATTTTCTTGAATTGGTTTCAAAAGAATCTGCTGTTTGGCATCTTTCCTGTACTGAATTTCTGGAGGGTAACTGCATTATGTGCATGTAAAACATGCAAAAGGAAACATTCACTGAACTCTTTCTTTCTGCTACCAAATGTAACTGTGCCACATTGTTTGTGTTTAAAAGACTTGCCTGAAAGCAAAACTCTACAGGCATACAAGGTTATAGATGTATGCATTGTAAGATAACCACTAATGGAAGGTGAAATACTCTTCTGCTTCACTTGCCGTTGAGTGACAAAGGTTGCATCTAATGATAATTTGAATATTCTGCTGACAGTTTGGGATACTCTGCCCCCACCAAAATAAATAAATAATAAATAAATAAAAAAATAAATAAATGCTTCCAACTCCCAGAGCAAATGCCTATAAGTCTATAGAAAACAAATTAGGAATGCGTTATTCTCAATGAAAAAAGTCTCCACAAGAGCTATAATTTTATTTTTTTTAGTGCACAGAATAACATAAATCAAAAGAAGCAATAGTCTACCTTGTGTTTTGACTACTTTGACCCTCTTCAACCCCTGCCAATTTTTATCTCATTTTTGTTTAACTTTGTACATCAGAGTTTAATTTTAAACCTGGTCCTGAAGACAGTGATGTATAGGGTACATCAAGTATAGCTTAAATTACCCTCTCCCCAGTGATTTGAAGTTGAGGGGAGGGTCTTACTCCGCAGCAGGGTGGGAAAGAGAAATGGTCAGATGTTGCCCTTTGAACCTGACCACCCTCAGCTACAGAAACATTTATGCCAGAACATCATTTATTGATTTTATTATATTTTAGGATCTCTTAAAACTGTTGGTGAAGTTTACCATATATTAATTTCTGACACATGCATATAAAACCAGAAATATGGGTTGAGCAGAAACTATAAATATAGACAACACTGCCCAATAAACTTACATCCTTTCACTTATAGGTTTCTATTTCAGCTGATCATTCTGAGCAGCCTGTCTTTGAAAATAAATGTTACCCCTCTGATAAGCTAACCAATTTGAAGATTAAAGCTGCATTTGAGGATTAAAGTTTTTCTTATTTGATTATTGTTGTGTCTTGTAACAGTAGAAGATAAATATTAATAAAATGTTACAGTCCGATTTCTGCTCACTTTACGCATGTGAGCATTTTATACCAAGAGACTGAACAAATTATGCAGGATTTGGCCCTTAAACAGAGCATTGACTGCTCTGTTTTCTCAGTCCACTAAGAATAAGTCTCCCGTGAAATGTTACATGTACTCGGCAAACTCCTGAACCCACTGCTGCCACGGAAAACTCTCACTGATGGGTAGCTCTGAGAACTCACCCTCCAATTATGTACCACAGAGCAATGGATGTGTTTTTATTGAGAAGAATAAAAACCACAAGAAGCGCTCTACAACAGACCACAAAATGGGTTTGGCACCTGTGTCTGCCCGGAGCCGAAGTTTCGGAGTTGTGTTATCACGTGGCCCGCTGACCCCAGGAGAGCAGGGCTGACCTTGTCTTACACACAGAAGTCTATTGCTATGACTCCCCTGAGAGCACAAACCAGCTGCAAACTGCTGCAATGATTAACCCTTATGTGTTGTAGATGTAACATCGAGTCATGGTAATAAAGCTTTCACTGCATAACGGATCTCTTGCTTTGTAAATTGTTGCTCTTATCAGCTGCACTGGAGGATGTTATCCCTTTCCTGTGAAGCATGACTGCTGTGTTGTTCACTGGAAAGGAGACCAGATCTGTAGACTCGGTGATATTTATTCAATTGCTTTGAGAACAATACAGAGAATAAATACACTTTGTTTAAGCTAAAAATGCAGTGTGTGGAAACAAAAAACCCCATGAAATACTCATACATATGAAACAATATATTAATTAAAATCCAGAACGCCTGTAGCAGATTTGAATCTGGGAATGCCAGATTTGCTGTAACAGACAACTGTGTTGTTCTGTTGAGTCCAGGCTCCTGTTTGTGGAAGTAATTTATACCCAACATTTTGTGAAAATGCAAACTTCCAGCCTGGAAGAGTTAACTGGGCAATTACAGAGTTTTGCTGTTTGGCTGGAAACAGACTGTTTGTAGTGATCAGCACTCACATCCCCAAAATATAATCAGTGTAAGTCTTATTTTGTTATGCACCCCAAACACCAGACCCAGTTCTTTGCTGTCCTATTTGCCCAAGCCAAGGGGAGTTCTGAGTGTGTCTCAGCTAAAATCCAAACCGCAGGCCCGTGAACAAGGCCCTGCTTCCTCAGAAACGGGATGCCTTTTATCCCAGCGTGCTTCCCACCTTCCAGCCCTTCCCTTGCCAAATCTGTGGCCACATCAAGGCTGTGAAAGCAAAGGTGACCTCAATGTAAGCCCCGGTATGATACGATATTATCTGCTTTAGTCTGCACAGAGCCAGAAACACTGTCTGAGAGGTGGAGGCTGTGTGTGTCACGAGGGCTGTCACTGCCCACAGTCACTGTTTCAAGAGGGGCTTTCCAACATCCCAAGAGCCAAGAGCAATGAAAAGGATTTGTTCAATGTATCCACCCATCAAAGCAGCAGCTCTGTGTGGTTTAGAGGCACAGGATTGTGGTCCTTGTTATTGCTCTGTCTCTCTGAAGCTCAGAGGTTGGACAGACCAAGAGCATTGCAGGGCTCTGTCCACAGCTCCCAGGGACTGTTTGTAGGTTTTAGACACAACCTTTTTCAAAGGATAAAACCAGCTTCTGGGTTCAGGAATTAAGCAAAAAAAAAAAATCCCTTTGGTATAAACGGTGGGAAAAATAAATTCAATTTAAGGAAACAAAAATTGTTTTCCCTAAAAATGTGAGGTCTTAAGAGCTTTGGGAGGGGATATTGTGAAAGGCTGTTGTGAATACACTGTTTGGGAGTGTAGTACACTAATGTCACTCAGTGCAGATTGAGAAAGGGTATTGGAAAACTTTTTCAACTGAGGAGTGACAACTGGGAGGGAGGCTGTATTGACAATGGGTTTCCTTGCAAGCTTCCCAGGTGTTCAGAGGGAGCAAGTTAGAGCCCTTTGATAAGCAGTAAATTAACACCTCTCTGTGGTCCATGACTCATCCCTTTTTCCACACCTTTCAATCACATTGTTTCAGCCTGCCCCAAAGAAGCAGGGGAGGATCTGCAGGAGCAGTGCTTGGGCTGGCCTGGCCAGGGGCTGCACCAGGTATTTCTTATTTCTTACCAAGGAAAAAGCTGCTCTGGACTAATGATGCTTTGCTGGTTTGTGTCTGGATTCATCTGCTTGAAAAACAGCACAGATAGTTTTACTGCAGAAGTTAGGATAGACAGGATTGTTTTTCACTTGTGAGCACAGGGAGCATTTTCCCACAGGGACAGCAGATGAAAGGAATGAGTTTATTCCTCTTTCCCCAATGCCACCTCCATAGGCACATCAGTGCTGTTATTTTAACACCAACAGCTGTAATTAAAAAAAAAAAAATATTATCAAGACCTCTGTGAGTCCTGCTACAGCAAATATACATAAAAAGACAGTGACAAAACGTTTAAACTCCAAAACTGACAGGAACACAGAGAGGCAGTAACTTCACTTACTCCCTCATCGAGCCCAGCAGCTCCTGTTTTTCTCTGAGTAGCAGCTGTGGTCTCCCAGGTGGAGGCTGTTGGCCTTTGAATGGAGCAGAAGTTGCCTGTTCCCTCTTTAGTAGGGTGGGGAAGGGTCTTTTGGTGATGGTATCTTGTGTCCTGCCTGGCTCCTGCAGGTGTGAGAGACTGGTGAGGAGGAGGAGGTGGCAGTAGGTTCCAGGTGCTGTGGGACTGTGTCCTGTCCTGGGGCTCTGCCTTTGGAAGCTGGAGAGGCCCTGTGTGCCCTTTCACATCTCATCCCTCCTCTGGCTGCCACTCCTGTTTCCAAGGTACTGTTGTCTTGATATTTGGTTCCTCAAAGGGGAGGGAGAAGCAACAAATTTGCTGAAATTATCTTGATGTTATTTTGTTCTCTTGTGGGGTTTCTTGTGTGAAGGGTGTATCTCCTCTATTAACTCCCATTAATATCAAACATCTACTATCCTATTAATAGGATTTGCATATGGAAAGGAAGAGGATTGACCTTTAAATTCATTAAATAAAGCAAATTAAAAAAAATAATTTTAGTTAAAAGCATTAGTGTGATGAAAAATAGAAGAACAAATACATAGACATCAGTATCTGGGCTTTCATTAACACTAACGAGCAAATTATTGCAAGGAAAGATTTGCATCATTGGAATACGTATTCCAGCCTCCATACTGATATATGTGATGCAGGGTTATCTTTGTATGGCTCCTCTTTCAGAATATATTTTCTTTTTATAAAATAGCCTCTTTTTAACTCCCATTGGGGATCTCCTTGTAAATGAGGAACTGGTCCTCAAGGGACTGGCCTGGCTAGAAAAGTGTGTTATTAGGAAAAAAAAAGTGCATATTAGAATACTAAGCAATATAATTAGCTCATTTCTTTGGTTTTTTAGAAAATCTTAAAAAAAAAGTATAGCCAAGTTTAATTAAACATATTCTCTGGATGTTTGAATTGTGTAAGAATTAGAAAATCCTGTTGTATTTTAGAGGGATTAATTGCATCAATTTAAGGTTCTTGCTCTAATCTCCAATATGCAGTCAGGTATCATTGCTGCTCTTGCAAAGCAGGTACAGTGCTGCAAATAAGTGATGTTTGCCCACAAATCTGGGGCCACAAGCTGCCCCTTGGGTGGACATTCTCAGCCCTTGAGTGGCAATTAATGTATTCATCTTCTAATCTTTTAGACAGGAAAAAACATAGGTTCTCTATAGCAAAACTGGCTAAATCTGCAGATTCAAAATATTATCATTCCTAATGATAAATATTGATTTACACGTGTTGAAAAGCTTCTGTTGCCTTCACAGCAAGGAGTCTAAAATATAATTAGATTAGTAGTGTTTCTGCCACCAAATCACTTTTTGAGGCTGATTCTTGAGACACTGATGTTCAGAGGTCTCAAGATCTCCAGCATTGCTTTGCTCTTAGGTCTTAACCCATCTGTGTCTCAGCTTTCCAAAATACAGCCCTTTGTAAAGTACTTTGAGATACTTGGATCAAACTTGCTGCCTGTCCAAAGTAGTATTAATCAGTATTTTGTGCTATTTTGTTATGCAGCTCAGTCTATAAAACCAGCTATTTATTCTGATCCTGTTCTATCTCAGGCCCCCACAAGTGGGAAGAGGTGAAATGTTTCAGGTTATTTTGCTCAGAGCTCAGCTGATGTCATCTGCTGAATACAGCTCTAAACATCTGAAGCTGGTGAAATTAAATAAAGTGTGAGCATCCTTTAGTCTGGAGCTCTTTGCCTTTAAAACAATTACTCATGGTAACCTTAACAATGGTATATTAAGAAAAAAAATTCTCATAAAAGAATGTGGTGTTAGGATGGAGCTCTGCCTGATATTAGAACAATTATGGAGCAGATGCATCCACTCCGAACAAAGTGACCTTTTCATCAAGTTACAAAACATTAAAGGTTAAAGAATTTTGAAAGGAAGTTAATACTTTTAAAACATTAGAAAAAATTGCCATTCTTTCAGGACCTGACCAAAATCAGTGGGGAAACTATGAGATGACTGTTTAGGCACATCCAGTCATAATTTAAGCAACTCTTATTACAGAAGGATATTAGGTATTTTACATCGTCTGTTTTGTTTTACAATTAGAGGTGCTTTTTCAGAGAAGAAATGAGATTTGATAGGAATAAACACCCAATGACAGAAACCTGCTCTAAAGCTTGGCTAATTGCAATTTTAAAGTCGCATTTCTTCCTCTCCATTGTGTACAGAGGAGAACAAAGAGAGGGAATCAATGGTGGTGTCAGATTTTCTTAGTTTCCACGTTTCACCTGACCCGGGCGGTGCAAACCCCGGTGACCAGCCGGGGAGCAAAGCGCTGCGGCTCCTGCCCCGCGCTGCCCCCGCACACGGCGGGGAAGCGGCTCCTGCTCGCCCAGGGCCGCCCGGGAGGGGACAAGTGCCCGGGACCACCTCCGGGGTGCGGGACAGGAGCGGGGCGGCCGTCGCCCTCTCGGGGCTCGGGGCCTGCTTGGTGTATGCCAGGACAGCGGATCTCTGACATTTCCATTAATTTTTCCCGGCCAAGGGGTGAGGGTGGGGGATGCCGGGTGCCGCACACGTTGTTGGACCCCGCACACGGCCCCGCAGCGCCCGGGCCCCGCGCTCTCCCTGCACTATAAATTCAGTGCAG